TAGCCACAGTCACTTGCCCGGGAGCAGGTGCCGAATGGGCAGAGTTGCATTTTGTAGGGTTAGGGTTTTGCCAGGTGAGTAAGGTGGAGGGGAGGGGCGGGACCAGAAAGTTCAAGGTCTGTGAAACAGACTGGCTGGTGTGGGATTATGGAATCTAAGTTGGGTAAGGAGGAAGGCGAGGGCATGAGTCGGGTATTGAATAGTGTTTTCGTGCTAGAGTCAGGGTCAAAGAATTATTGAAACTGAGGAATCAGAATAAGTGATCTGGAAAGATGGGATGTCAGAACAGAGGGAAGTGTGCTTACTATTGAGATTTTGGAGGTATGAAGTGACAGGGTCCAGGGCATGACCAGGGGAGTGGGTAGCTGAGGTGGGATAGAGAAAATGACCTTTACAAGGGACATACTGGCACTGAGAGGCCAGAGTGCTGTACAGGAGATGTGTGCAGATACTGAAGTCAGCCATACTGAAGGTGGTGGTCATGATGAGAGTGGCAGTGACCTCCAAGGGCTCCAGGCTTCTCCTTATGATAAGTAATCTTATGATAATCATGAGATGTGTGTCTCACTGGGATTGGGTACTTATTCCACTGCAGACATTGAACCACACAGTTGTATTTGTTTCTCATTTAATTTTGACCACTATGAGGTTGTAGGTATCTGCACTGTAAAATGAGTTAAACAGAGACTCAGAAAGTTAAGTTGATTGCATTGAAGTCACAAAGCTGGTAAGTGGGGAGGCCAGCTTTGTGGGGATTCAACCCTGGCAGTCCAGAGCCTGATTTGTAACTTGCAATATTAAACTGTTTCCTTAATTTCTGAGTCTTAGTTCCCTTTTCATCTATAGATATAGCACAGAGTCCAGCCCATCACAGAGTAAGGATCTGTCAAATGTTCATTTTCCTTGCCTTCTTCAGGTTTCCCCAATGTGGGAAAGTCCTCGCTGATCAATGGGCTGGTAGGGCGGAAGGTCGTCAGCGTCTCCAGAACCCCTGGCCACACCCGATACTTTCAGACCTACTTTCTCACCCCCTCTGTGAAGCTCTGTGACTGCCCAGGCCTCATATTCCCCTCCCTTCTGCCTAAGCAGTTGCAGGTATGAGGGCAGAGGGGCAGGGAGGGAGAAGGCAGTCAGATCGAGGAAGGTGCTGAGTGCTCTTGTTTCCCCTCAGGTTCTGGCAGGGATCTACCCCATTGCCCAAATCCAGGAGCCATACACCGCTGTGGGCTACCTGGCCTCTCGAATCCCTGTGCAGGTTCTGCTCCACCTGCGCCACCCAGAGGCCGAGGACCCCTCCGCAGAACACCCCTGGTGTGCCTGGGACATCTGTGAAGGTGGGTTCCATGTGCCTGGCTCCTCCCCTTGCCTTTTACTCTGCCAGATCTCTTCTCAGAGGTTCTGCCATCGACCCAGTAGCTGGCCATTCACCCTTAGCTTTCTGTCACAGAGCCAGCAAAATCTCCGGCCTAGAATGCTCTGGGGAAAACTGGAAGGACTTATGTTAGGTGGGTGGGGTTAATGGGCTTCTCTTCCCATTATTTTCTCTTTCTAGCCTGGGCAGAGAAACGTGGTTACAAGACAGCCAAGGCTGCGCGGAATGATGTGTACAGAGCGGCCAATAGCCTCCTGCGGCTAGCACTGGATGGCCGCCTCAGCCTGTGCTTTCATCCCCCAGGCTACAGTGAACAGAAAGGTCGGCCAGCCACTTTGCTTCCCTAGTCCCTGCTGTAGTGTAAGCACAGGGGTATTGGCCCCACACAGCAAGAGCAAACCTGGATTCTGTACCTGTCAGCTAGCTCTCTGTGTTGATAAGTATCTCTGTGGTGGTGTCCTGATCTGCAAAACCAAGGTGATAGTTGCCTCCTGGCTAGGTAGGGCTAGGTAGTGGCAAAGGTTGGGGTTAATGTGTGCAGAGCTAGCTATTCAGTGCCTAGCACATGGGAGGTTGAGTGAATGAATGAATGCATGCCAGCAGCTATAAAAATTATTGTTATTCTTAGTCTGTGCCTCTTCCCCATCTTTCTGTGGCTTTAGTTCCTTGTTTAAAACACTCCTCTATTCTTTTTCTTGTTTTGGTTCCTTAGGCACCTGGGAGTCCCATCCGGAGACCATGGAGCTGGTGGTTTTGCAGGGTAGGGTGGGGCCAGCAGGTGATGAGGAAGAGGAGGAGGAAGAGGAGGAAGAGCTGAGCAGCTCTTGTGAGGAGGAGGGAGAGGAGGACCGAGATGCAGATGAGGAGGGGGAAGGGGATGAGGACACCCCAACTTCAGTTTCTGGATCCAGCCTGGCTTCACGAAACCCTTATGCCCTGCTGGGTGAGGATGAGTGCTGAGGCCCTGCTCTGCGCCATCTTCCCCACCCAGTATCTTTGCTTTTGGACTGACATGGGGGGTATCCCCCCTCTGCCACACAATTGTGAATAAAGATTGTCTGCTTTGTAGCCCCTTCCCCAGATGGACTAAGGTGAGAGCAGCTGTTTCAGACCGACAGCTATAGGAAGCTTCTCCCTTTTTTCATGCATTTTCTTTGCAAAGGAAAAGTTCTCTTAGGAGTTAATTCTAAGGCCATGAAACCTGCTTCCTCTGCCTGCTCTGCCACTCAAATTATCAACATGGGAGGGCAGGGCACTTCTGGCTTTTGAGTCCTAGTCTAAAGCCAACCTCATTTTGGAGTTTGTGTCATTCTCTCTGATTTGAGCAGCAATCTTGTGTGCCACCTGCTGCCAGACCTGGGTTATACCAGGAGCTTTTGGAAGAAGAAGCAGTAAGAGTTGTCATAAGCTGTCTCCAAGTGAGATTTTTGCAGGATTTACTCAAATTCAGCAAATATTTATTGAGAGCCGACTGTATGTCTGGACCAATGCTAAGCACTAAGCATATAAAGATGCACGGAACCTGACTTAAATTTGTAGTCTGGCCATGATCAAGACCCCATTATCAAGCATCCAAGTTTTTGGATTAAGAAAGGTATATATAATGTTCTCCAAATTCTTGAGGCTCATACAGTATAATTCTAGAACTTGTTGATGAAAATATTTAGGTGAAACCAAATACTTGTTAAAATGTTGATTAAATATGTACATGTAGTCTTACTGGCAAACAAATAGCGTGCACATTATTTGAGCAGACCAGCCTTTTAAATACAGTGTTAAGTTACATTCTTTAAAAGCCCATGTGCACTAAAAGTATATGAGATTCAGAGGGGAGGGCACAGGGCCAGCCTCTGAATCCTCTTTTTTCCTGGTTTGGGGATGGTGACCCCATGCATTTCAGCAGCAGTCAGTTCTCTTGTGAGTCAGGGGACCCCGGGCTTTGCTGTATGTCTCCTTTGTCAAGCAAGTAGTTAGAGTCCTTGATTTAATTCATGGAGAAAAGGGAGAATAAGTTTTGTTTTATTGGCTGCCACATTGCCTGGGTTGGGTGGTAGCAAAAAGTGTTATTTGACAGGTCGATCATTAGGTATAGGGGTAAAGAGGAGGGGCAGTACCAGATTCCTTTTCTTCATTCAAGCATCCAATTCAGATCTTGGATAATGCATTGGACAGTAATGCCAGCAGAGAGCCTGTCAACCCAGGAGCAAAAGAAGCTGAGGTTTTGGGTCCACATATTCTATCAAGCTCCCCCTTCCACTGGTCCCAGTGAAGACATAAATCCTGGAATTTGCACTCCAGTGCAAAGTTTAAATACTACCAGCATGTGAATGTGCTTGAAGGTTGCCCAAAATGTGCTGTAAAAAAGTTCATGCTGAGAGAAAAACCTGTCTCCCATCTTGTGCTCTTTAGCGTAGGGCTGGGTCTTCTGCTGGAAGAAAGGGGGTCCCAGCTTAGTTCCTCTAATGGTTTGTGATGTTCAGGGAAGCTCAGGGGATTCTGCTGTTGGAGGTGGGGTGGGGACAGTGGAGCCATCTCAAAAGGGAAAATGAGAATTCCTCTTTGTCTTTTCTGTCTCATGAGTGTCAATGGGGGCATTGGGGAGAGTCTAGGGTAGAATGTAGATTTGAGCCCTGGAGTTGGAGGGGAAGCTGAGGAGGGGGCATTTTAATGCTGGAAATCTGAAAGGAGCAACTCTTATATCCCTAAGGGGTATGATTCTTTCCA